AATAGCAGTAAAGAGAAAACAAAAACAAGAGTAGAAACATAATCTATGAATTTCACTAATGAAATTAAAAGTAGTGATCGGATCCGTAATATTTTACAATCGAAATTGCCTAATAAACATTTTAACAAAAGTAGAATAAACTAAATATGAAAATTTTATTTAGTGCTAAAATTAATAATTTTTTATTACCAATTATATTTACAAATACATCTATTTAAAGTAATCTTAATATTTTTTTGAAAATTACCGGGACAATCATACTCCGAATTCTTTTACATAGCGATAGTACGTACGAAAAGTACATAAGTATCAATATGTATTTCCGTTAATACGTAATTACTAGAATATTACTAGACATTAATACGCAAATACCAGAATATTACTAGCCGTAACACGCCAAATATTGCAAAAAAACAAAAAAAACCTGAAATCTAAAGGGTAGAATAATGATTTGTTTACATTATATTGTTCTAAAAATAAACAAAAAACTTTAATAAATATTTTAATAAATATTTTAAAGAAACTCTAAATTCTGTGAAGTTTTTACTTTTCATTTACATCATTCTAACATATCATTAAATAGGACTTGCATTCTTTTTAGTACGATTATGGAGAGTATGAAAGTATTCGTAAAGAATTTTGAAAAATTCTCAATTAGTTTCTACGTAAGAAAACCTGATACTATTTATTTTGAGCAACCGAAATTTGTATAACACAACATGTATACATTCAAGTTTGTTAGATAATAAATTCTCATTGAAATACCAAAAAAGTGTACGATAAATATATATATATACATACTATTTATGTGCACTACAAAAAGTATAGAACAGTATTTTAAGTTTATATTTGATAGGTAAAAAAACCAAACCCTGGTTTAGGTAGTTTAGGTAATTTAGGTAGTTTAGGTAATTAGGTAGTTTAGGTAGTTTAGGGGTAGCTTAGGTAATTTAGGTAATTTAGGCAATTTAGGCAAAAAGCAGGCCATGATGTTTCGTTCTTTAAGAATAATTATTCAGTGACAAGTAAAGGGCTAATAAAGAATTTTTAAGGGTTGAATCAAACCTAATTTAGGTATAAAGAATTTGAAAATAAACAGTCAAAGCCCAATAAGGATATAAGAAAATCATTAGTTGCAGTATTATCTAAGAGCAGATTGTAACAAAGACAATGAAAGAAGCATGAGATGAGGGGGAATAGGTACCGAAGAAAGAATGACAGGCTACCAAGATGTAATCGATCATGATAAAACGGATGGGCGTGTGAAATTGACAGCTCGTGTCAAAAGACAAAACAATAGATTGATAAAAAAAAAAAAATTTTTTAAGACTACACCTTGAACTTTCTTTTTTGACGTAGTACGCACCGCATCAACGTACATTGAAGGTTACATTTTCTTCATAAACATTAGCACATTAACGCACGCATGTCAACTGACCCTACACAAAGCCATGCAATTAAAGAGTTCTTTTGGATATGCATCATGTATTTCGTAAAATGTGGTAAAAAGATTAAGATATAAGGAGAGAGAAAGTAATTCCGAACAAAGACATTAAAATTGATGAATATAAAATACGAATAAAAATAAAATAATAAATTGTTATAAAAAAATTGAAATGAAACAAAATGAAATGATAAAGAAAAAGAAAAAAAGAATAGCAGTAAAGAGAAAACAAAAACAAGAGTAGAAACATAATCTATGAATTTCACTAATGAAATTAAAAGTAGTGAGCGTGCATGCATGAATAATCATCAATATACATACCAAAATAATCGGACATAGCGTGCGTACATACGTATGTATGTACCAATTCCAAATGTTTGATGTCAAAAAAAAATTATTTCTATTTTAAGAGGCGGGATAAAGTTTCCTTGTCGTCGTAGGTTTGATTAAAAATCATTGTGATAAAAATTTGGGATTTTCTTAAATAAACAAATATCGATATCATAGAGGTCTGAGGAGCGTAAAAATAAGCAGTATGATGGAGAGGCCTGAGAACTGATTTACTGATTGATCATTGATTGACTGATTGATTGATTGATTTATTGATTGATTGATTTAAAGAGGGGGGCAAATTAGCTTTGCCATAGTGTGTAGCGTATAGCCGTAGTGTAATAGCCATAGTGTATAGCAGCCATAGTGTATGGCGCTATGGCGATAGGTATACAAAAGATAGTATAAAAGATAGTATAAAAGATAGTATAAAAAAAAAAATAATCTAAATTTGACATGAATCAAATATAGAAATTAGTTTAGCTATTTTAACGCCTAAAAAAAATGAAAAAAATAGATACGTTTTGAACCTACCCAAATGGCGAAATATTTGTTTTCTATCGGGTATAAGCGAATATTTAAGTTTTATAATGACTGTTTGAACCACTAAGATTGGGGAAAAGAGTAACATTTTGGCGTATCAAAAAAAATTTCTAAGGGTGATATTTTATTATTCACGCACCTAAACTCATGACAGGCGCTGTCAAGCTTTAACAAAAAAAAAGAAAAGGACCATTACAACTCGCATTAGTGTTTGGTTGAACTGCGCATTAATGTTTTGATCTTTCTTTTTTTCAATACATTCGCATTAATGTTTTGCATACCTTGCCTTTGGGCTTATAACCCTGAGTCACCACCGAGTCACTAACCATATATAAGGAAAGAAGTTTTCGACATACTTTTTTGTTTATGCACAGCATCAGCCGGGTTTATGGGTAATCTGCACATAGTAATAGGCGCAAAAAAAAAAATTTATGACAATTCATTTACCATATAAATGTTTGAATTTCAAAGCAATATGAAATATACATTTTTGGAATAATCTGTTTTTTTTGTTAAAAAAAAAAAAAAACCTGATTCCATTTGTGTACGTGGTGTTGTTTGTTTCGTTCGATGTTCGCGTGGCAAAATATAAATAAAACAAATGTATGCCAGCATGATCAAGAATGAGAATGATATATGATATTCGGTATTCGGTCGATTATTATATGCGAAGTAGTTTATGCGGGGTAATAAAAAAAAATAATAATAATAAAATAAAATAAAATTTTTTTTTCAATGAATCAAGTGAAACCTAACGATAGATAGTCGATTGAAAGAATGAACCAACCTACCAAATCATGTCTTCATAGTAGTTTTTACTGGTCTTTGTACTGGATATTTTGATCTAATACATCTAATACGTGCTTTGGAATCTCTTTATTGTTTCGTGAACCAGTTTCATTGTTCATTTAAAAAAATAACTTATATCGATATGTGAATATTTTTTTTAAGGGATGTGGCGTAGTAAATCTCATGACCAAGTGTGTGTGTGGATGATTGAGTGTTGAACCAAGGGTATCACGGTTACATTAAGTACATAGTACCGGCATTATTTTATTCTGCAAGATCGGATGGTAACGGACATGATTTAAAACTATGGATGATAGGGGGAAAAAAACAATGATTTGATATGGTTAGTTTTTTAATATCGGCAATGCATGTAACCGTGTGAGGGGTAGTAAAAAAGAAATTAATTTTATTCTGTTTCTGTATGGTATCTAAGGGATGAGAGGTAAATTTTCGATCAAATTTCGATTAATTATATTATGTAATGTATGTAAAGTCCATCCATATGTAGAATCGATGTAGAATCTATGTAAAATCCATGTAGAATCCATGTAGTAATCAATGTAGATTCTACGTAGTTTATGTAAAGAAATGTCGATTTTTTTTTAAAAAAAAAGTAGTGGGAAAACTTTTCGTTTGATAATGATGAGCAGAACTTCAAATTCAATTTCGGCCAAATAACTAAAAGTTTCAAATTTGTAAATGATCATGTTTCGGAATTACATATGTATGCTAAGTTTTCCATGACTCTCCAATGCAAGTTTGAATTTTTATTATTATCGTGTAATTAGGAAATCAATAGACCCATAAATGGATGCAGATTTCTTATATTATTTTGGTAAGTACTCGTGGTACTAAAATGAACTTTAACAAATACAAGTAATAGAAATTTCTTTTGAAAAAAAATGAAGAAAAAAAATTCGACAAGCAAAATGTATGTGTAAAATGGATTTTCTTCAAGGTCGCAACAATTTAAGAGAATTTTTTTAGGTCTACGAAATTCGATTTCGAAAAAAAAAGTGATACTGATGAGAATAATGGAGGATTTATTTTACATGACATATTGTTGGGAATAGAACAATGTTTGTGTGAATAATGATTATGTGAAAGAATAATGGATTCACGCAACGGGAAACGTATTTGATATCTGTATGGTTTGATCATAGATGGTAATTCGGTGATATGAACGATATGAAGTATTGTTTCGAATGCGTGATGTTTTTTTAGAGTTTCGAACCTTGATAAACTTTTGTTAGTCTTTGTTAGTCTTTGTTAACTTTGGCCATATACAAAATTTTATTTTATGGACTATGATTAAAACGAATTCCCCCGCGGCAATACAGCAATAGCAATAGCAATAGCAATAGCAATAGCAATAGCAATAGTGATAGAGTAAATGGAGTAATGTTATACAGTCACTATAAAGTCATTATAAAGTCATTATACAGTTATACGTACGATTATACAGTTATATTATACGTATAGATAGATATAGATAGATATATATATAGATATAGATAGTTATTAAATATTGTTATGTATTAAATACATTCATTAAATACATTCATTAAATACATTCATTAAATAAAATTCATTATATAGTCATTATACAGGCATTCATTATATAGTCATTATACATACAGTTATTATATGGTTATAAACGGTATTCATAAAGTCATCTTTAACTAAAAATAACAGTAAAGGCTGAAGGTGCATACAGATACAAATCAAGAATTTTTCATACCTGGTAACACCAATTTGCCCATTCTCTCATGATTTGGGTATCTCGTTTAATTACATTATTCTATGTTTCTTTGATACAAATGCTAAAAATAAGAATATTTCAGAGGTACATTTTTTTTCGATGATTTGAAACTAGTTCCCCTTCAAAAAAAAAGGTCATGCATGTAAGAATAGGATTGAGTTGATCAAACTAATCGATCCACTCATTCGTTTTTTTTACAAAGAATCGAGATTATTGTGAGACCATCTTTATGCATTTTGTACTATTTTCGTCACTATACGTTGATTGACACAAGGAATGTTGTGGTCCCAAAGCAATGTGATTATCATGATAATAAAGATTAGACAAATACGATATAAAATGACTTGTTCGTACCAGGTTCTACAAATTCAAACGTGATAGTTGGCGGGATACTAAACCAATTGGAGATTTAAGATATGTCAATTATTAATGTTAACTAATGCTATAAAAAAATTTTCGTGTTTGTTTCAAAATCGATCACATTTTATTATATTTTAATTACATTTTTTTTATTACTTTTTATTACTTTTTATTTTAAAGAATCTTTTTTTCGAGGGAAAGGGGGTTAACATTATATTTAGTTACTTTGGAAACAAAGGAGTTTTGATTTTCATATTGTTCTTTTTTATTGATGCATCATGTGTTGTTATTTACAATCATTATTACGCATTATTTCTTTGACAGGTTTTTTTTTTTTTTAAAAAAAAATAAAGATTTTTATCATTCACACGGTATTCATACATGGTTTCACATTTAGTAAGGAGTGTTAAAACGCGCAGATACGTATATCTTAATGATTTTTGCTTGTTAACCATACGCGTGCTTATATAAAAAAATGTTAGAGGGCCAGTGATCACTTAATGCACGTATACTTAAATGATTACTCAGATATCCTTTTTTTTATTTAATCCACGCGGACGTAACAAAGTCGCAGGACCTTACTTGCATCGCTTTGCAGATAAAGACCTAAGTAAGGTTTTCCAATAATGTCATAGACATCAGAGATGACTTAAATGTCTTAGAAGGATGTTTTTAAAGGAACGGGAACTTGCCAAAATTCGGAAAACAAATTCTTTATAACCGATTATTATGAATATAAAAAGAATATAGACCAAAGTCTGTGTTGAAAATCGCATGTATATTGATCGAATCGATCACGAATAAATTTTGATAAATGAAATAAATGAATCAATCGGAATTGAAATCGGAATTGCAAAGTTCGAAAAAGTAAAACAAAGGTATAAAATTAAAAAAAGTATTGAGTATTTGAGTATTTGAGTATTTTGACTCCGTTAACACGACAAACACGGCAAACACGGCAAACACGGAAAACACGGATAACACGGATAACACGGAGATGTCGCCACTGAATAGTACATGTACACAAGGATTCAAGGTTCTGACACTTGATTATTATAGAATTACTTTATTTTAATTAAATAAATTAATTGTATTCATTTATTCGGATGACTAATTCATAAATTCACAATTCAAACAACAACAATTCAAACAATTCAAACAATTCACATATTCACGTATTTACATATTCACGAGAAATCACAATTTTTAACACCAGGTTCAGGAGACTTCAAAATTAAAATTAAGCCAAAACTATATTGACGCGCATATATAATGCGTCACATGAAAAAGGAAAGAAAAGTGGCGTAGTAAAAATTCAAAAGTAAATT